GAGGGCGCGGACTTGTGCGGTGTTACCCCCTCGACGGGGGCTATCTCCCCTGGACTAGCCCAGGGAGGGAGAGGCGGAGGAGGGTAGTAGTCTCAGGAGGCTGTTTGGCGTCTTGTGGTGTGAGCTCTTTGCGCTCTTTTTTGCGTGAGGATTTTTGAGCTTGGTGACCTCCCCAGCCCGGGAAGACTCGTCGGGCTCCCGGTCGCCCAAGTCCTGGTAGCGAGCTCTCTGAGATGCTCGGTTCGTTCGGTCGGCAGGAAGAGCCCCCCAGTTGCGACTTCGTTTATGTTAGGAGACCAACGGGCATAGATCCCGTCTAGTTGGAGCGCCAAACAAGCGCTGTTGCGTGCCGGCCGTCGTTTCCCGTGCGGCCTGACCCGGGGGCGGAGTGCATGAGACTAACCAGCCGTATGCACCCGCCCCCCGCGCTGTGCTTCGGCCCTGGGCCCCCGGCTTTTCAGCCCACAGTGTAATCAACGTCATACATACATACATGGGAACGGAAGAAACACCCTCCCACCCACCATGCCCTCCCGCTCCCTCCCCCCTGCCCTCCCCCCCCCCCTCTCACCGGGCAGCCGTACCCCTTAATGGCCCCCCCCGCCAGACCCAGAGCAGCGAACCCGGGCACTAGCGGGTGGGGGAACTCGGCTCGCTCCCAGTAGTCCGCAATCACTGGCGCCACATTCGCCTCCTGCTCGTCAAAGGGTGTGTGCATGCACATGTGTGTATATGTATGTATGTATGTATGTATATATGTATGTATGTATGTATATATGTATGTATGTATGTATGTATGTATGTATATATGTATGTATGTATGTATGTATATATGTATGTATGTATGTATATATATATGTATGCCTCCTGCTCGTCAAAGGGTGTGTGCATGCACATGTGTGTATATGTATGTATGTATGTATATATGTATGTATGTATGTATGTATATATGTATGTATGTATGTATGTATATATGTATGTATGTATATATATGTATGTATGTATATATGACGTTGATTACACTGTGGGCTGAAAAGCCGGGGGCCCAGGGCCGAAGCACAGCGCGAGGGTATATGTATGTATATATGTATGTATATATGTATATATATGTATGTATGTATGTATATATATATGTATGTATGTATGTATATATGTATGTATGTATATATATGTGTATGTATGTATGTATGTATGTGAGTGGGCAGTGCGGGGGCGGGGGAGCAGGTTTGTGTCCCGGGGGGAGTGCGACAGAGGATGACCTAGATGAGTTCCCAGGGAGGCGGAAGAGAGGGAACAGGGGCATGAAAGGACACCAATTTCAGTGAATTCCCGGCATCCCAGTGCAAGCGCTGAGAAAAAGGAAACGCGCTGTGAGAGTTTGGGAGTGCAGAAGTCAAAGGGAGTAAGGGAAGGAGGAGCTAAGTCTGGTGGTCACTGGCCCCCCTTGATAATCGAGAGGGGAAACGAAGCGAGCGGGATGATGATCTGGGTTTTGGAACCACGTTGTGTGGGTGCTCGCGGAGGCGCGGACCCTGCGTGCCGACGGAAGCGGTCGTGTTGCTCCTAGGAAGGAAGAGCTACACACCCAAGGTGTTTACTACAAGATACGGTACGAACGCAACGTGTCGTACCATGTACGACCTGACTTTGTCCCTCAGCTGGCGCTCCTCCGGGCTGAGAAGTCCCTCCAGGGCGAGAAGGTCGTGTACGGCAGGCGGGAAGGCAGCCATGGTGGTGGCCTGAATCATCAGCGAGAGGGGGCTCGAGGTTGGTTGAAAAATCAGCACATACATATCAACGGGGTCAATAATGTAACACGCCTGTTGCCGATGTGTGTGAGGCTGAGGTCGAAAATGCGCTCGATGTCATGTAGGTTTGGGCAAGGAAAGGGACGCGCGATGCAGCGCAGCACGGGGAGGACGGGGCGTCGACGTCGACGTACATCTCCATCTGCCGTACATTTCTCAACAGAGCGGTCTGCTGCCGCCCCTGTGTGAGCTGGTGGGCTGTCACATACACGAAAAGGGCAACCGCGCCTGGCTGTTGCACCCGCTCTCCACCTCCCCCCTGCCACCTAACGCGCACCATAGCGTAATGACAACTTTGCGGCGCTGGATGATGATGTGGTGGACCTTCATGTCGACCGGGTCTGGCGGTCTGGTGGAGCAGTCTGCCACACACGCCGCCAGGTGCAGGATCCCTTTTCATGACCCGACGGCCCGACGATGAAGCGCACAGCAGAAAACCCATTTACCACACAGCACAATCGAAATCCCCGGCAGCTGCCCGATTTGAATTTAAAGACGTACAAAAGCAGCAACCTCGTGCACAAACCCAGATGCGCCAAGGCCATTTTACCTTTGACACACCCAAATCCATTCCATCCTTACATTTGCAGCGCGAAATCTATTGTCGCCGTAAGAGATCGGAAAGAGATCAAATCTAACCCCTCATCTACAGCACATTTTTCCCGCTGGAAGTCAAGCCCCAGTTTGTGATCCTGTAGCCCCGTTTCTTTTCCCAAGATGGAGACCAGAGCCATCGCAATCCGGGAGCCAGCCTGGGCCGCTGAAGGGCCCTTCCCACCGCACCTGAGGAAAGGTGGAGTCATAGCCACCCCGAGAGTACGACGAAGACGTAAGCTGCTGCGTCAGCAGATCCCCGGCTGAAGAAAGAAAAGGTGGAGGAAAGGGTGGGTAAGGCAAGTGCGGGGGAGTTGGCTGGTCGGATAAGGGCTAGCGGTACATTGGAGGTACAAGTAATGCGTCAGCATTGACTGCGTTGATATGCCCAAACGACGACTGTAATTTGAACCATCAGCTTTAGAGTCACGGCAGTGCGTCAAGAGCGGACTGGCTGCGCGAGTATTGAAGCATGCCTATCACACGTCCTCACGTTCGAGGGGCGAGAGTTGCTGTGCAAGCACACCAAGGCGACCTTGGGCAGCGCTCACAGAATCGGACGCCATGATTGCAGTATTCCAAAGAGAATGCTGACGCAGTGGCAAATGGCGATTCCTACCCAAACTGAAGCGAACTTTCGGGTAAAAGGAACAAGGGCTAAGGAAAGCTTTTGGCAGGCCTGTGCACCGTCTTATTATGAATGGCAAAACCGTTCATGTACACAGTACACATATGAGTGGGGTGGAAGTCGCACAAGGGAGCTTAGCCGTTTCCGACAGCAACGGTTCTCTGCTGACTTGGCTCGGACCAAACCGACAGTCACGGAAGGCGGCCAACTTAAGCGTACTTGCACGTATACTCGGACACTAATTATTCCGGCCTTACAGTGTGTTCTTACGCTTTTCTTTGGTATAACCTTTGGGCTTTGGACAGCTGGTCGGTTAACCTTGTCACTCGAACACACTAGCGCTAGAATGGCATCCAAGCAGCCTGAGGCTCAGTACCGTGTGGATGGAGGCGTGGCCATTATCACGCTGAACTACCCACCGCTCAACGCGCTGCATCCTCTGCGTAAGTGCCCATTACACATTAACGTTTCAGCGAGCGCTTGCGAACGCTAAAGATGTCTATCCAAGCGACTGTGCAAATTATTGAGATTTATATACCTTAGAAGAATATTTGCGCAGAGGCCGCTGTAGAGTCGCTGGAACAATGTCGCTCATGCATGAAATGGTCATGGATGCAACCTAATAGCTATTTTACAACTGACGTCACGTTTGTACATACACCAATTGTCTGCTCGGGAAATTAGGCGCTGAGCAGCCAGTTTTTATCTTGCCATCCTTCCCCCGTTACCTCAAGTATCTCCGCTGGCGCACCTATTCACAGCACCCCTCCCCTCGCTTATTTCCATCGTTGCCAACCTGCAGTGCTGCGCTCCCTCTTTGACCAGCTTCGTCGCGCCCACGCGGACCCTGCTGTTCGCGCGATCGTTGTCACCGGTGCCAATGGAAACTTCTGTGCGGGCTTTGACATCAACCAATTTCAAAACCCTTCTGCTGGCGCCGGCGGTGGCATCGACAACAAGATCAACGATGCCATCTGTGAGGTTCTGGAGGGAGGCGCCAAGCCAACCGTCGCTGCCATCCAGGGGGTTGCCCTGGGCGGCGGCCTGGAGATGGCCATGGGCTGCAATGCCAGGTGCGCCGATTTACGTTTTCATGTGGAATGGGTTTTCATTTGAATAGCCTTTTCATGTGATTTGGGTCTTTATGTGATTTGGGTCTTCATGTGATTTGGGTCTTTATGTGATTTGGGTCTTCATGTGATGTGGGTTTTCACGGGTTTTCCTGGATATCACCAAAATAATGTAAGGGGAATGTCTGTAGAGTTCGCCTACCCGTGCCCGTGGGGAAATGTCGAGCTGCATGTTTCCGGCCCCACCGGCGGGACTCCGGAGACAAATGGAATATGGGTTCGTGCAAAATCTCCATTCCTCAATAATCTTCTCCTTATGAATATCTTCCCTGGGAAGCGGAAATCCCACCAGGGACCTTTCTCGTTGCCATGTGAACATATGAACCTGCCGGATGCAGGGTAGCTGTTCCGGGCACCAAGCTGGGTCTACCTGAGCTGCAGCTGGGCATCATTCCTGGTTTCGGAGGCACCCAGCGACTGCCCCGACTGGTGGGGCTGGCCAAGGCAGCCGAGATGATGCTCACCAGCACCCCTATTAAGGCGGAGGTGAGTTTTAAGATTTTTATGGCGTGTAGTATTGAGGGTATTGAGGTTGTGGAAGGTGCGGGGTGAGAGACAGATATGGACGAGCGAAGGAAGTTTTGGTAGTATGGCACGTGAAGAGCCGGCAAGGAGAGGTTTGGACCGCGCGGTGCTTGGATGATGAGTTAGTCGGGTGGTGGGCAGGCTGACAGAGGTGAAAAGACATCATTGTCATGCCAGCAGCGAAGCCGTGCTAGCACTCAGGTAGGCCTAGCTTCTCAGGTAGGCGAGCTCTTTCTTTTCTAATTCCAAGCCTGGCCCCTAATCACAAACACTCCCCAACCTGACCGTCCGTCCTGTTTCCGCTCTCCCCCTAGGCTGGTCTGAAACTGGGTCTGGTTGACGCTCTGGCCCCCGCTGACCAGCTGCTGGCCGCGGCCAAGTCCCTGGCTCTGGACATTGCGGAGGGCAAGAAGCCCAGGATGTACTCGCTCACCCGCACTGGTGGGTCAGCTGGGGTGGGCAAGTTGCGGCCCGTGGGGGAGGGCGGACACGTAGCACTTAACCTTTTCAGATCCGTCGCATGTCGGCTTTTGGTCAATCTATCCTTTCAGATGCCTTGCCATTGAGTCGCCTGCTGACTGGATGCCAGTCCGCACATCACACAGTCCGTTCGTCCTTGTCCGTGAGGCGACAATTCCAACTGTTTGCCTCCTTCGCATGTACCCCGTCAAATCTGCCCAGACAAGCTGCCGCCGCTGGGCGAGGCCTTGGCCGTCTTGGACATGGCCCGGGCGGAGGCCAGCAAGAGGGCCCGGGGTCTGCGACACCCCCAGCTATGTCTGAACGCAATCCAGGTGCGCGGTGAGCGGGGGCGGTAGTGAGGGGTTGTGGAGCTAGTGGACGCCGACGTCGTGTGGATGTGCTATGTGGACGCTCTCGTCATTGTCTACCTAGAACCGCAGCTGTGAGCCTCGTGAGCAAAAGTCGTGAGCCAATAGGCACCTGAATACCGAGTACACCGCGATAACCTGCCTGTCACTCCCTTCCCTGTACCTCTCCACCGCCCCTCATCAAATTGAGCACAGGCGGGTATTGAGAACGGCGGTGCAGCTGGTCTGGCTGCTGAGGGCGCTGCTTTCGCGGAGGCTGCTTCCCTGGACACGCATAAGGCCCTGGTTCACATTTTCTTTGCTCAGCGGTCGACCAAGAAGGTCAAGGGGGTTACCGATGTGCCTGGTGAGAACTGCGGTACAGTAGTACGGCAATGTATATCGCCGTAGTGGAGTGCAAGTCATTGGAAATAGGTTAAGAGGTCGGAACACTTCGGACCTTCTTGAGGTTGACAAGCAAGGACCAGCAAGGACTCGTCATTCGAGCATGGTCTATAAAGACAACGGGAGAACGGGGCTTTGAAGTTTGCCTTCCAACCAACTATCACCCATTTGCCGGTTCCCCTTCCTCGGCGATCACCTCGTCACCACCAGGATTGAAGCCCCGCCCCATTCGCTGCGTGGCGGTGCTGGGTGGCGGCCTGATGGGCAGCGGCATTGCCACCGCCCTGGTGCTGGCGGGTGTGGATGTCATCTTGAAGGAGGTGAACCAGAACTTCCTAGATGGCGGCATGGGCCGCATCAAGTCCAACTTGCAGAGCAGGGTGAGTTTGTGAGAGGCGCCGGGGGTTTCGGTGGGGGGAGGAGGTGGGTAGTGAGGGAAGGATGTAAGCAAGATGTTGCACAGCGCAGCGCTCTCCTGCTTGCGTTGGACTCTAATCTTGCGTCTCTTGGGGCGATGCTTTTATTGGATTTTGATGTCCTTCCTCTTGCCCGTGGTATTTGGTGCAGGTGAAAAAGGGCGCCATGAGCGCGGATGCCGCCACCGCTGCCCTGGCCCGTGTCAAAGGCGCCCTGGACTACAATGACTTTGGCGGGGCGGACATGGTGATTGAGGCGGTGATTGAGGACATTGGCCTCAAGCAGCGCATTTTTGCAGGTGAACCAACATGACCGCCTGTGATATCGCGGCCGCACTCCTCTTTTGTCTTCCGTCACTGGCTCCACCTTTTGAGGTGACCGTTCTCCTTTTCCCGTTCCTCTTTTTTAAGACTCATGCACGAGTCCCGGAGTTCCCTCTTCACCATGTCCACCTTGCTGTGACTCTTTGTACGCGCGATCCCCGCCTGACATTTCTAAATCCCTAATGCGCCTCTATGTAACTTGTGCCTTTTGACGCGCAGATCTAGAGAGGGTGTGCCGACCAGACGCCATTTTGTCCACCAACACGTCCACTATTGACATTGACCTTGTGGGGGCCAAGATGGAGGATGGCGGCGCGAAGTCGGCGAGCCGGCTGTTGGGCGCGCACTTCTTCTCACCGGCCCACGTAATGCCGCTGCTGGAGATTGTGCGCACCAGCCGCACGGGCGCGCAGGTAACTATATATTGGTGATCGCTGTTAACTTGGGGAAACGTTTTTTGGAACAGACCAGCAAGATATCCATACCTTTTCACGTTATCTTTCGTTCTCTGCAGTTATTGGCAGTTGCACCACCGCTTCGGACTTACAGCAGTTGTCGGTGCTTTGGACGTTTATTGCCTTGTAAATCAAGCTAATCCCCCTTCTCCCCCATTTAGGCTCTGTTGGACACTCTGGCGCTGTCCACCCGCATCAAGAAGACCCCCGTGGTGGTGGGCAACTGCACCGGGTTCGCTGTCAACCGGGTGAGAGAGTGTACCCCTCCTGCTGCCCTGCTGTCGCCTTGCTGTTGCTCATACTCACCGCCGCATTACGTCACGATATGATTGGCACATGGCAACGGCCCAACTTGCCAATACCGGCCCATAGGTAGACGGGCAGCCTCTTAAGCTAACTATAAACCGTTCAGCTCTGTCCTAGACCCTACTGTTACCACCGCGGATTTGCACGTTTGTTGTCCCAGGTTTTCTTCCCGTACACGATGTCTGCCGTCCTGCTGGCGGACCTGGGGATGAACCCGTACCGCATCGACGCGACGGTGGCTGGCAAGTTTGGAATGCCCATGGGACCCTTCCGGTGAGTTGAGTGAGGTCTTCGGCTTGTGGTTTAAAAGACCCACTGCTCTCATTACTTTGGTTACAGTTGCATATAGGGGGGGTCCCATCACGTTATCCGGGGCAGGTTGGTTGGTCATTACAACCGACCGTAGTGAAACTTGTGTGTGCCCGAAGCCCAACCGCCAAACAAGGCATGACATGACATGGGTTGAAAACGGAACCCACTCTTATCTTGGTGTGGCAAGGTGCCCTTGGTGGGTCGAGGATTAAAACAGCTAGTCAACGTAGCCAACAACTTTGTAACCCCAACTGTTTTACCAACTTCCAACTGTTTCAGGCTCAATGATTTGGTGGGCTCGGACATTGGCCTGCATGTGGGCGCCAACTTTGTGACGTCGTTTCCGGAACGTGTCTACGTGTCCCGGCTCATACCGCTGCTGAATGAGGCCAAGCGCCTGGGAGAGAAGACGGGCAAGGGTTTTTACAAGGTGCGTGTCTTGTCCACGGCATGTGTAGTGGCGAGCTAATTGTTGCAGCAATACCGCTGCCCTTCACTGGGGCGTGTGCGAGGGAAGTGTGGCAAAGGTGGGGATATCGGTAAGGGCATTGTTTGATCTAAGGAAATGAAATGTTGCATGCTACTGTCGTGGTTTGATTTCACCACCCCCTCTTTTAAAAAAGTGTCCTTCTCACCGTTGTGCAGTTCGACGCGAAGACCCGCAAGGCCTCCCCCGACCCGGAGTTGGCGCCCTTGCTGGACGAGTCACGTAAGGCTGCCGCCCTTGTCAAGGAGGGCGCAAAGCCGCCCGCATTGTCGGATGCGGATATCCTGGACTTCATCTTCTTCCCAGGTGAAAAGGGCAGTGGCTGGCGGTGGTTTCTTGTTGCAGAATGGTCGATAATCAGCGAATTTGTACTAATCTTTCTAGTGCATGTTTCCGGCCTCCCTGAAGTCTCCAGTCCACAAGGAGGTAAAGCTAGGTCGATTTTCGAGACAGTTGTTATCGTGGACCTGGCCATGTGATGCTGTCGTGACTTTCAACGCCTCTTTTGATTAGCTGGTTGCAATATGCCCTTGCACGTCCTACTTGTAATCCTACTCGTACGTGGTGCGCAGTGGTGAACGAGGGCTGCCGCGTCGTGGCGGAGGGCATCGTGGACAAGCCCGCAGATCTGGATGTGGCCTCGGTGATGGCCATGGGCTTCCCAGCAGTCAGGGTAAGATGCTTCTCGTGCCCAAATGTGCCCCCGGGGGCCAAGGCGCTGTAGCCCTCGTGTATTTTGCAACCCGATCTGCATTAAAAGTTGAATCCTAAATCGCAGGGCGGCCTTATTTTCTGGGCGGACCTTGTGGGTGCCAAGCGCATTGTGGCGCGGCTGCGGCAGTTCGCGGCGCTGGTGCCGCAACACGCGGGCTTCTTTGCACCCTGCGAGTACCTTGTCCAAGCGGCAGAGTCGGGTCGCAAGCTGTCGGCGGGCGTACCTGCGCCTTCGAGGCTGTAAGGAACATCTCGATCGAGAAGTACCGGAGAGGGATGCGGAGGTGATGGAAGTAGGGAGTCGGTCATTGGGCATCGAGTCTTCGGGAGGTAAAATATCGCAGGGCAGTTTAAATGCAGTGGGTTGGGGGCATGGCGCTGCATGGTGTGGTATGGCAGCGTTCTGGCGCATTCTTCAGCGAGCCCAAGGATGTGCGGTGGGCCTTGAGAGTCCTCAAGCGCTGGTCCGTGTTCCATTAGGCTGGCTAGTATATTGCGTTCCATGCAACCGCCACAACTGCCGTGCGAGGATATAATCCCGAGGGCGCCCAAGGAATTATTTTTGCGCTCCTCAACAATTGGAGGAATGCGGGCAGGCGTTGTGCCGCCAAAGGCGCTTGGCCAAATGAGGGATGGTAAATCTTCCCTGGTGTGCGGCGCGGTCAGTTGCTGTGTATGCCCACACAGCGAGTTACATTACAGCAGCCACCCCGGCAGCAGCAGCCGGCTTTGACCAATGTCGCATTGGCAGCGCACCTCACTACTGGAGTTTCCCGGTGTGACGCCGGCTCTAATACGCGCTTGTATTTTTTTGTCAGAGTGGGGAGTGTTGCGTCTTGGTATAGTTCTAACTCCAGGCATAGAGGTGGCGGGGTCATCCATCCGCTTGAGCGTCGTTTTGTTTGTAGGGCGGATGTGAGAGCTGGCCGTTCACCGTGCAACTGATGCTCTACCTTGTCATGTCGTATTTTTGTGACTTCGAAGGTGCTTTATATGGAGGGGTCAAAGAGGTCAACGCGGATGTTCCCATGGAACGAAACGAGGCGGGTTTAATGCCGCCTAAATAGTCTACCCTGTAATACAAAGTAGGAGACGCCATTGATTCGCATCAAGTTTCACATCACCGTGCCTTCAACAGACTTTGTCAAGGAACATTTTCCTTCCGGCCGCCAGGCTCCCCACCTACCAAGAACCGCCGCTCCCTACAGCGCAGTGACAAGGCATCTGAAAGGTTACATCTTTGCACGTCCCACTTGCGCGTTAGTCATTCAAGACGCGTACGTGCAGGAGCCATAGCCGGTAATGCTCACCGGTGCCTCTTATACACAGATACGGCCACTCGCACTGGTGCCTCGCACAACATTCTCATCCGTTCGAAGGGTAAAAGCCATACGAGAACATACGCAGCATACAGACACTTAAGAGGCGAGGTTACTGCAGACCTACCCTTTTTGGAGGGGTGACCGCCGTTGTGGCTACATGCATGGCTGTACTGCACAGCTCGCGTTGTTACAACATATGTCCTTAAAAAAATTCCTGAACATTTGGTTGGCCTCTGAGCGACTGGCTAATGTACGGACGAACTGAAGGACTGGCACAACACTTCTGAGAAAGCACGGACTGTGACATGCCAGCTATCACGCCCACATCGTCCACACGCCTACCCAGCCGGGGTGAGAGCCCACCATAAGGCCCCCTCAGCACCCTTCGTGTCTTCCGCCCTCGATCGTCTCAATCCAGCGTAGTATCTTATAATAATCTTGCCGCTGGTGGCCACACCTCTTACCCCGTTTCTTCCTCCTCCGCCGCTCTCCCAACCCAACCTCCCTGATCTCCTCTTCGACTCGCCTAATGCTGGTGCTGCTGCCCTTCTCCAAGCATTCACACACTTCTTCACCGGCCCCCTACACACTACCGCCAATTCATGCGACATGGTCGACACCAGCGAAACACGTGAAGGGTCTATTTTAGAAGAACCACCAGCAGCACCACCACTGCCGGCACCAATATCACCACCACCACCACCACCGGTAATGTCCTCGCCACCATCCGTCACCCTAACCCTAATTGAGATCCCACACATGCCCTCGCAGGGGCCATATGGTGTCTTGGCATTGCAGCCCAACCACCCGCCCACCCACACAGGCCGTCCTCCAAGGTCAAGGTCACAGTAAAGTCAGTAATACAGTGCAATGCATGTTTTGACCCCATGTCATAGCAACAACGAGCCAAATACAAAATGACGTGACAAGGTTCGTTCTTCTTCCCCGCAGGCCCAGTCCCACATTAAAAAGGATTATTTCTTTTTTATTAAAACGGTGCAGAGATTGCAGCCATGTCATGTCGCCTGTCGAATTTGATTCTCGATGCAATCATGGCACCGCACCAACGACAGCAAGGATGCTGCTTTTGCTTTTTGAGGACCAATCCAAGATTCTAACCCCCTTCCACCGCAATCCATCCCGATGCCTACAGCTATAAGCCACCACCATCACCACCACCACCATCACTACCACCACCACCACCATCACTACCGTGCAGTAGTGCACTGCCAGCTGGCCCGCTGGCTCTACCCTTCGTGAGTCTGGAGCCCACCGTAGCAACCACACACTACCAGCAGCACAAGTACCACCACTGCCCCCGGTGGGCCGCCGCCGCCGCCGCCGCCGCATCAGCCAGGGAGCGATCGACGCGGCGCGCGTCGGGAACGACACAGCACGACAAGAATACACGCGAACGAGACGACACAAGTAAGGTAGACTGATGGGTGCTGCTTTTGGCTCTCAGTGCAACCCAGGCCCCAAAGCCGCCGCGGCTACCAGCCCTCGAAGAAGCCACCGTCCTCCGCGTCAAGCCCGTCGAGAGTTCGTCCCGTACTTGTCCGTCCTCTATTTGTTGGGTTGTTGCAAGAGCCCCAGTTGATCCAGACTGAGCACCACGACGTTCTGGTTGGACAACAGCAACACTGCCGAGGTGGTGTGTGTGTGTGGGGGGGGGGAGAAGCATTGCACGCAAGCGGGGAAAGGGGGATGCGCGACAAAAAAAAGTCAGGGCGGGGGATTATATGCAAAGCCAAGAAGTAAAACAGCTGCCGACGTCCAAGATTGTGGGGCAGGGCAGGGCAGGGCAGGCAATTCTAGGATGGGAGGGGGCTTCGGGTGGGTTTCAACAAGTAAAACACACACGCTCTCTTTAGCAGTCGCCGCAACACTATGATGTGATGTGATGTGGTGAGACCTGTCCCTTCCAAAACGCAGTACACACTCACATATTCTTGGTACATACATACGTACATACATACATGCACTACATTACGAAATGGCAGCTGGGAAATCCCGCCTGGTGTCGCCCTTCCCTGGACCACCGGGGCCCCCAGTGCGTGATCGCTCATTCGTCGTACAGAAAAGCCGAAGGCCAAGCAAAGGCAGGTCGGGCATCTCCTTGCTTCTTTGCCTCCTCAGGCTTGTGATCCTCCCCACACAAAATGCAGTCAGTCAGTCAGTCAGTCAGTCAGTCAGTCAGCCAGCTAGTGGCACGATCCCCAACCGCGGTGGGCCTTACGTGGGCCCCCTGGGGTCGCCGCCGAAGTCTGTTGGAGCAGCTGCTGGGCCATGATGCTCTGGAGGTCCTGTTCAGGCAACGAACAACAACAACAACAGGAAGCAGCAGTAACGCATCAGCAGCACCAGCAACAGGCGGTAGCATAGGAAAAAGGACAGGGGTGGTGGTTGGCAGGTAGGATAGGTAGTACGGCACTTGAGGGGCGCGCTCGCAACAGTATGGCATGATGGTGACAACGGTTTCAATCATGATGGTCGTGATGATGCTGATGCTGATGACTGTGACGATCGGAATGGTGATGGTTGTTAAGTGAGATAATGATGGATACAATGGTGATGATGGGGGGAGCAGGGTAAGTGATGGTGATGCGGCTCACGTGGGCCAGGAAGGGAGATGGCGAGGCTGAGGAGGTTCAGACACGCAGAGGGAGGGGGTTCGCCGGTAAGGGGCACAGGTGGTGGCGGTGGTGGTGGTGGCGGTGGTGGGGTCGCATAGCGGGGGGTTTGGAACAGCCTGGGGCGATCGCATAGCATGTCGCATGGCGCAGCATCGGACGTGTGTACGCGACTTTTTTTACTTTGCGCCACTTCTCACTGCTCTTTAGAGACGCGAACAGTGGGGGAAAGAAACTCCCTCCCTCCCTCCGCCCCCCGCCTCTGCCCCCCTCAACACACACACGGGAAGGACGGTTTTTCATCTCCCCGCACCCGGCAGATGTAACATGGCCCCCCAAGGTGTACGAGCGGAGGTAGAGCTGGCGGGGAGTTGGGGGATAAGACGAACCACCGGCAGGTGAAGCAGATGCCAGTAGGCGGGGAAGGGGGAGGTCAGGTGCCGACGTACGGGATCGAATCGACGTGGAGGTTCCAACGTGGAGGTCCAGGGGGCCGCCATACCCAGCAACAGCCCCCCCCGCCTTCCGCAAAACTGGGCATCCCGAAAAAACGCATCCCGAGTTCACATCCCTAAGGAACGTATACACGAATGCACGACAGCAGCAGCAGCACTTGCACCGACAGCAGCAGCAGCAAAGGAACAACCAGGTCCTGCCCCGTCCCGCCCCGTCTGCGTGATGGGAATTCGCTAGCCAGCTAGCTCGCTCGCGCCGGACAGCCGTTCGCTCGAGCCAAATTGCATTGCTTGCTCACATTGCTGATCTGCTGCTGCTGCTGCTCGCTGTGTGCCTCCGCCGTAAGCGCCGCCGGCTCCTGCTTCACCAGCGACGCAAGCAGTGATGACTCCGGCCGTACGACGCCTGACGCAAGTGCTGTGTCCGGCCGCAACATGCCGGGAGGGATCCTCACCACGTTCCCTCCCAAGCCCGCCGCCGCGGCCGCGGCCGCGGCCGCCGCTGCTGCTGCTTGGGCTGCCTCCTGCGTCTGGCCCGCACCTGCGCCTGAGCCAGGGCCCCCGACAGCACCGCCGCCAGCGCCTGCCCCAGCCGCCACCGCAGCGGCTGCAGCCTGCTGGAACAGCAAGTGCTGTGCCAGGTTGCCCCCATTGAGCCCCGCAGCGAGGGGCCCAGCGGCATTCAGCCCAGCACCCAACGCACCGGCGTTTAGACCCATACCGCCGAGCCCCGCCACCCCCCCCAGTGCCGCCGCCAGGCCGCCGTTAATGCCGGCGGCAGTGCCGCCGCCGCCGGCAGCGGTGGCGGCGCCGCCACCTTTTGCCAGCGCCGTCGCAAGCTGCGCCAGTTGCAGCTGCTGCAATACGTTGCTGCCGACCGCAGCGGCGGTGGGGTCCATCAGCGTCGCGGCAGCAGCGCCAGCTCCGCCACCAGGGCGCCCGGCACCGTTGGCGGCCGCGGTCAGCAGCGACAAGGCATTGGCGTTCTGCGCCACCGCTGCAGCCGCCGCTGCGCCGAGGCCATTTAGATCCGCCGTCGCGTTGGCCAGCGCCGCCGCCAGGTCAAAGGCCGGGGCCCCCTGCACATGTAGCTGGGGCCCCAAGACGCCGCCAACGGCTACTCCAGCCCCCGCACCGGGATTAACGCCCCCGCCGGGTGCTAGCCCAGCAGCTGCCGCGCCGCCGCTAGCAAGCAGCAGTTGCTGAACCTGGCTGGCGTACTGCGCCGCGCCGAGTTGGCTGCTGGGGTCGTTGAGATCTCCCAGCTGCCGCAGCATGCCGTTGTCGGTCTGCTTTGAGAGCGGGTTGAGGTCGGCACGCAGACCGAATCACCGTGGGGCACGCAGCTGGTGATGCGGGTGGTGAGCTAGTCCTTAAACCAGACTACAGGTGTCAGCTAAGGGCATAATGTAGCTATATTGCTCTCTGTGTGTGTTTTCAACCCTCTCCTCTCCCCCCCTCAAAACACAACCGCCACCCCCACGGACCACGTTCCTTACCTGGCAAAAGACCCCCTACAACAACCCAACCAAGCCCTCCTGCGACTTGGCCGCCACGCTTAACAATCCCCCCGACGACATCCCTCACCGGCATCACCACACACACACACACACGTCACACGTCACACCGCCATCCGTAAACCCTTCATGTATAAATCCTTCACGCCCTTGCCCTCTCCCCTCTCATCCCTCGCCCACCATACCACTGTGCGGCGAGCTCCGAGAAAACCCTAAGGGGAAAAACCTCCGCAAGCCCGCACTCACCAGCGCCACGCGGCTCGGCATCGCCAGCGGCCCCAGGGAATGCCCTCCCTTGAGCAACCTGGCCGTGACCGCATCCGCTTCATCCCCCGCCATGGTGCGTTCGTCGGTTCGCTGCTTGCGGCGTCGCAGGTTGCGGTCCTCGCTGCGCGCCTTGCAACTCCTGATGAAAGGTCGATCAGGGCGATGGCGGTTGGCAGTTGGCATTTGTGGTTGTTGTTATATATATGAGACGTTAAGAAGCGTTAAGAAGTCAGGCTCGGGGTCGAAAAGTGCAACTCGAGGTAACCAAACGTTCGCGCGGGTGAGCCACTGCACAGTGCAGCGAGGCGCAGCGAAGCCGCGAGCTAGGGAAGGACATCAGGTGGGATTGGGAAGGTGAACGCATGAGCAGAAGATGCAGAGACAGGGTTTATAAGGGGTTACGGGCAAACGGCCTCGGAAGGGAGGCAGGCTCTCACTACTATTATTACTACTGAGGCTGGGTTTAACGCCTCGATTGCTACCCTTCGGCACTCCTTCCCTCTCCACTCGCCTCCTGCTTCCTGAAAAGTTGTCCAGAGACTGGAACTTGTTGCACTGCTGGCAGAAGCGGTACCTGCCGCCCCCCAGCATGACGCATTCCGCCTTGAAGTGCGGCTCGCACACCGAGTAGCGCCGCAGGTAGAGCTTGGCATCACTGAGATCCCGACCGCAACCTGTCGGAGGAAGGGGTGGGGGGGAGGGGAAGACGAACCACAAAAACGAGTGAAGCTGATGGGGAAGGGGATGGGGGGAGGGGAGCGGCAGACGGGTCGGGCGGGTAGTGTGGGCGAAGGTTCAGGAATAGAGCCAAGCGCGGGATTTAGATGCGCAGCTGGTGAGGTGGGCGATTGTGCTGCGGAACACCCCGTGTTGTTGATGTCTTCACGCGCATGAGATGGCTCGTCATGTTCGAACTCCTGCCCTTTGCCCTGCCCTCCTCCTGCAGCAGAAGCTGATACGTGCTGTAGGTACTGATACAAAGCTGCGCATGTATCCAACCCTTCGATGCTGCTACTGAAACTGCCACTGTGGCTGCTACTGCTCCTCCTTCATCCCACCACGCGGCCCTCCTCACGGCTGCGCAGTGCATCACTCGTCATAAGTAGTCCTCCGATAGAAAGTAGACACAGCCGCGGAACAGCAATAGGTACGGCAGCGTGGCTGTTTCCCCCCGGCTGCTACCCTTGCCTGCTCTGCGTCAGCCACTGCTGATGCTACAGCCTGATGCGGCGGCAGTCGATGCGGCTAATACAAAGAGGGCAGCAAGCTTCGCAGACGGGGGAATCTGGGAGCAATATGGGCCTCGAGGGAACTCGGTGACGGTTGTCTGCTGCTTAATATTGGAGCCCGGGAACACGGTCCCCAACCCCGGAAACAACACCTGATGCTGTCGGCACTCTGGAGTGCCTGCTCGTGCTGGTTTCGTCAGCAGGCAGCCAAAATTGAAGACACCTGTGCGAAGCTGGAACTCCCAAACCTGAGTCCTGTCGTCAAGGAATGCAGCCCTTGATGGCGATTTCTCCCCTAGGTGCCCGTGCAGTTCGTAAGGCCTTGCGCCAATTAACACCTACCGTCAACCTGCGGGAAAAGAAACAATGATGCATAGAAAGTCGGCGGGGTTGAAAATCAGGGCCTTGTGTCAGGGGGTGCAAGGGTCAGGTGCAAGGTGTGCCTAGTGTCGAAAGGCCTGAGCAAAATGACATGCCTACATTTCATATAAAAGCGTGCATGTACACTCTTTATCTCATATAAAGAGTGCATGTACACAAAAAAAATTTACGGGACTCTGGACCCAGGCTTCGGCTTGTTGGATACACGGTGAGGCCTAGGAAGCCCAATGGCCGCACGCTGAACTGCCGACGTTAAACACACAATTTCGACATAGCACACCTGGCATCGTGCTACGTCATTTGGTTTGCGCAGTTTCCTGGGTTTGCGCGGTAGCCCCTGTCCATCTTGCACGGCAGCGAAGCCCTCCGGGTCGTCCTGATCTGCTTGGGAATGAAGCGCTAAGACCTGACTATGCTGAGCATTATTTTGTCCGCTTTGTTCGGCAACGGGAAGGCTGGCCACTGCTGCGACCACTGCGCTTGCGAAAGCCTCGGCGTCCACGCGGGAAAGTTCTGCATGGTAACGTACCAGACCAGCGAGAACCTAAAAAACGATACTAGCAAAGGCATAATCGCAATGCCCGACAACTAAGTCCGAGCAGATAACGGAACAAACGCTCAACTTGTCACGCCGTGCCTCTGCGCGCTTGGCAGGGTTGTGGGACTTTTTCCTAAGAAGGCCAGGTGCGGTGAGGCCACTATCATGTCACCCACCTCCGTTCATCAAAGCTCGGGACAACGCTCGGACGAGAACCTCGTCACAACGCTCTTACGCTCGTCCCGTGTCGTCCGCAGAAAGCTGGCTGCTATGTCCCTAATGGCGGGCCCCTTATGAAGGGGACAGGTCCTCGGGTAGAAATGACGGGTCGAGGGGCCCCGCGTTTCCCTGGCAAACTTGTACTGCCTTTGGAGAGGGCCCAAGCCCAACCCGTTGGCCTGGCCAGAACGTTACTTTTCAAAAGCTGAAGTGAAGGTTACCCGAGTAAGCCACCTGCGTGCAAAATCCTGACTGTAAAGACCTTTCTGACCGAAGCCCTTTGGACGACACTAACAGCCCCTTCGGCAGAGAGCTTTCCCCTTTAAGGAAATGTTATGTAGGTGTATACTTTGAAGCGTACTTTCTGGGAGTAAAATTCAGCATCCAAGAGCATTGGAGCATTGCGCGTACACCTTTTCGAGACCACAACCATCGCGAACTTACACTCCCATCAGGCATCAACCCTTAATTAAGCATACGCAAATTACATTTAGCAAATCACAAACATTAGAATTCATATTCTATCCTTTTGAAATACAGCTTCGGCGGAAGACTCTCCAACAATGCACCATACGGCTTTGCGTGCGGGCAGCCTGTGCTGTCAAACTTCAGCGAAACAATGGCAAATGCCACCAGTCATATCGCGTCGTTCAAATACCTACCGCTGCGTGTCACGAGCTCCTCCTGTTAACGTCCTGCGCCGAAGTCCAACACGTATTGAACTTGTGCCGGTGGCGTCTCAGATCCGCGATCAGCAGAAGCGGAACATTGCCGCTCGGGCTGCCGCCGCTGGTGCTGCAGAGGCGGCGAAGGACAACCTCGTTCCCGTTACGGTGCGTGTAGATGCGAGCACCCGCACGCCTGTCGACGTTTCGCGATGTTTATAGGTGCTAGGAAATCGAGCGTGGGTGGTTTCCATAATTCGATGCTTTTCAATAAAGCTTCACACATCGGCTGACGTATGACACCTCTTTCGCCAGCCAAACTACGGCACCTCAAGACGGCAGCGTAACCGCACACATGTTTGCCGAGCCGCATACCATGCTCGCTTCTACACGGTAACCCTATAAACCCATATCACCGACATCACAGCAATGCCTGTCCTACAGTCCTGGCCAACCTAGCCATGGGCTTGGGAAATGGTGGCAGGACAGGGGGACCCTTAGAGGACGTAAAAAGTACCCACACACCGTCCCTTTTCAGCTCTGTTAAGATTTGTAAATTCGAATACCTGGAATACAACCAACACTCAGAGATCATCAACTAACAAACGGCAAACAGTAACGGACGGGTATATACGTTCAATTTGAGGTGTCAAGGGTAGGCCTCATAGGATAGGCTCATCTTACCCGCCGCCGCTGAATTCGACTTGACAGTTCCGCCCGGTTTGATTTCAGAGGGGCATCTAATGGTCAGAAGCGCTGTGAGGGAAAGGGAGGCCTGGGGAAAGCGGGCGACGGGGGGAGCAGGGGTTGGTAGATGCATTGACGGGTCCAGAGGCCCAGAGTTGTCTTTCCACTGCCGCAGATGGAGGGCGGCAAGCACCATGTCGTACGCCGCCACATGTATATTCATAAATATTCATGTAGCAATATTCTTACAGCGGATGGGCGTTTGTGACCGCTGGCTGATTACCGTTGGCGGGCGTGCAACCGCCAACGGTTGTAACTACCTCTTCACCTCCCAGACCCACTCTTTTCGCCTCCCACAACGTCCACTGTTGATCCTTTGATCTTCTTGCATCATGCGATTCCACCCCACCCCAGACCACCCTGCAGCTTGCCCCTGATTGTTGTTTCCTATTTTGGAACCGGCATATTTCGCACCCGCGTATGCACGCCCAAATTTAAAAAGTCCTGCTTTTTGTTTTTTTTATAAAGATATGATGATGCAGGTTGTTAATGGAGGGGCATGAACACATATCATTTCCCACCTCTCCCCAACCGTTATTATACTGGTCAGTTCTGCTTCTCTTTCCTAGGCAGCAGTTCACTCGTTCGTGGTTCGTCTTTCCCCTCCCAACCGCTCTCCAGGTCATCACGGGCTTCCTGGGTAGCGGTAAGACCACCCTCCTGAACCACATCCTCGCCTCCAAGGAACACGGCAAGAGAATCGCAATCATCGAAAACGAGGTACATCCGTCCTTCGCACATCCGTCTGTCTGTCAGTCTGTCTCTGCGTGTATGTTTGTAGGTGTGTATGTATATGTCGTTTTGCCCGCTGGCCTGGCCTGGCCTAGCCGGGGGTCTATCCGTCTCTCCTTGTGGTGTGTGTGTGTGTACCGATGTGGAGGACGTGCGCCGGGCTCCGGAGCGGGGAGGTGGTTAGTGTCGATGTGGTGTCTGATGTCTGTCAGCCTGTCAGTCTGTCAGTCACGTGCGCAAGCTGTGCCGAAGGAAGCCATCCATCCGTACTCGAACAGGAAGACGCGTGAAACGGTCGTGTCCGGTGCACAGCTTTGTGTCTTGCACGCGTCTTCGCGGGTCTTCGCCCGGAGGATGGTAGTGGTCCGTTTGTGAACAACACGCTGAACAACACGCTGAGCAACGCGCGCGAACGGCCCCCCGCCCCCTGCTCGTCCCCCTTGCATCTCAGGCTTCGTCTTTCCCTTGAGAGAGAGCTTTTTTCGTACTTTATCTGATGTCGTACTGTATCTGATGTCGTAGTGCGGCGATGGCGCATGTCCGCATATCCGTCTCCCCATTCACCCACCTTCACCTCTCCCCCCCCCACCCTAAGCTC